ACCTTAGCAATACCCTAGTCGTCACTCGGAATACCTTAGCAACACCCTAGTCGTCACTCGGAATACCTTAACAACACCCTAGTCGTAACTCGGAAAACCTTAGCAATACCCTAGTCGTCACTCGGAATACCTGAGAAATACCCTAGTCGTCACTCGGAATACCTTAGCAACACCCTAGTCGTCACTCGGAATACCTTAGTAACACCCTAGTCATCACTCAGAGTACATTAGCAACACCCTATAATGCTATAGAAACAACTCTGGCAACACCCTTACAATCACACTGAATGTTTAACTGACTCTTAACTACAGCCTGACAACTGTAATTAAAACATTGCTAGACATTGTGGGCCCTATCAACCATAATGCCTACCAACACCCTAGAAACCACTCAGAACACCTTAATAATACTGGGCTAGTTGTAGAACCTCTACATTATCTCTAACACTGCGGTTTTTTAATGGAAATCTCAAATTCCTGTTCTATTCTTTTAGATGCAATATGAGATAACATAACTAACATTACTGTGCTCACTATAAGCACTTCATATGTGCTTACTGTCCTGATGATGTGATGTTGAATTTAAAGAGGGTGTTGGCCCGTCATGTTTGAAGCTCCCATCATCTGCTCTCTGCAGTGTGACGCTGTCAGTGTGGCTGTACTTGCTGAGCTGGTGCAACCAGTCTGTGTGTGGAATAATCAGGCATGTCAATGAACACAGGAACTATGGAAGTCCTCTCATTATGCTGTCTGACACAGGTAAGACAGTCAGGGCGCATTCCATCATATGACCTCACTTCAAGAAAAAACTCTAGCATATATAAAGGAATAGTTCAGCCACGTCTAGAACATTCTAAAATAATAATAAAAACCTGTGTTGCTCAAACCAGTATCTTTTTGCTGTGGAACACAAAATTTTTTTTTTAGCAAAAAGAATGTTTATCTGATGTACATGTTATGAGCTATATTTCAAGCCAGACAATAGCTTTGTATGAGAAACAGAATGAAATACAAGTTGTTATGTACGTGACATGCACGTGTCAATATGTCTTGGTCCTCAGGTGATATAGTGGTGCAGGTGCAATTGGTTGCTGGAGAGGAGCAGGCGTTTACAGCATACGCAGCTTTACCCCTCCATACCTGGATCCGTCTGGACATCTTCTTTCAGGTGTCAGAGGTACATCAGCTATATTCATATGCAGTCATGTGCACTTTTCTTAGATAAGTTACACTCAATACATACTAGGGGTGTAACGGTACACAGAAGTCATGGTTCAGTACGGACCTCGTTGGCATCCTGTTTGCAGACTTATAATATTTCCACACAAATTTTGGGAAATTAATGCAGTTTGTGTTCAATTCTGGAATAGAGATCAGCCAAAATGAAACTAAAAACCAAATTTTTCTGAATCATAGCCGCTCGACCGGTGCATCTCTGGAACCCCAAAACTTTCCCACACTGCTCATTTAAAACAAGCAGGCAGTTCTTTGAGCTTTTATGTGTTATCTGAACTCGCCGTTCTTGTTTTGGGTTGTTACATAGATCGTCTCTTCTTCTGCTCTTTCCTGTTTTGGAGGTTAGCATTACATTACTTCTAGATTGATTGCCTATGACTGAATGTATTCGTCGTCTGACTGCATGAACCAAACCGTGACGTCCATACCGTGACCGCTTGGGACAAATACATGTACCGTTACACCCCTAATACATACAGAGGCACAACTGATGAAGCAACATTTATGTGTGAATGTAGAAGAAACTGAACTCTTGGCTGTTTTTCTCATGTCAGGCAAAACTCACAATTACAAAGATCTTACCCGCAGGAAAGACTTTGGAGATCACTCATCTTTTTGAGTAAGTCCCAACATCACATCTACACAAAAAAATAAAAAATAAAAACAAAATAAAATAAAAAATACTGGGTTCGATTCCCACAGAAAGTGTTGTTTCCAGTAAAATAATAATATTCATATAATATAATATTAATTTAACCAATAAATAAATTGAATAAAATATTAAGATATTGTTTTCAGAGAATAAAATATAATTCTAATTAATGTAAGTATATTGTCTTGTTCCAATGACAATTTTTTAGGCAAGGTTTTAGGCAAACGTCCAACTAAATTTATTTATGTATTTATTCATGTATTTATTTAGTGTTTTTTTTAACTTTCTACAACCATTTTTTTTATAGTGTAGTTCATGTTAAGTGAAACCTCTTTCTTTCTTTCTTTCTTTCTTTCTTTCAGTTTTCGTCAGCCAGTTCAATTAAATGACACATCAGGATATTTTGTGATTGGTGGATGCAGCTACATGCAGGGGATTCATGGCTATATTGGACCAATCAAATACTATCGTTTAGGCTCAGAATATGTGAGTCCTCTCTTATCAATAGATAAATGCATATAAAAAAAATATTGTGTGTGAATAATAATCACATGAAGCAGCATACATTCAGACATTCTTATGCGATAATATCTTATATAATTTCTATTCAAGGTGACAAACCCCCTGTCCCCTGTTAGGACGCTAAAGGAGCTGGACAGACTCCACAGACACTGTGAGGAAATGAGACGGGTTACTGAAGACTATCTGCAAGCATTGAGACAAAACCGAGACATCTCTAGAGGTCAGTTAATATGAACTTGACCATAATAGATCAAATACCAAATGATTTGGTATAATCACCTCCCATAACATTACAAAGTTTGTTTTTGCGATTCATTTTCACGCACTGAGGAGCAAGTACTTTATTATGTAGAAAAAAGAGCTTTGTTATGAAGCTCTTATTAAAGAGTTTGTTATTAATGGCAACAAACTTGGTATGCTGGAGTACCAGCTTAAACGGCTTTTGAGAGTGTTGGCTCTTCAAAATGTACAAACAATGTAAACAATGACAACGTTTTAATTTTGGGTGAACAGTTCCTAAAGACTTTGTGTTTTTGGTCATCAGATGTTTGTGAGTGTTTTTATGGAGACATTAAGAGGAAGTTTGATCGTAGGAAATGTACACAAACTTGGTCGTGGGACCAGCAAAGAAGATTCAACCTCACCCTGAGGCTTCTAGAAGAACACCAGGAGCTCATAACAGGTAGCAGTGGTTTAATGTGGTCCTTTATAATGTGAGCTATGATGATTTTGGTGGAAAAGTTCCTCTGTTCCTCAGGTCTGTGCAACAGCAGCAGACATTTGCTATGTCTAGGCCGAGTGATTTACCAGGATGCGGTAAAGACAATAGCTAAAGCAGAGGAATCTGCCGGCGGTCTGGATCTCCTGTCCACTATTATTCAGCAGCTTCAGGTGTCCTCCTGCTGGGGTCACCAGCACGCCTCTCTTCTGCTCGCTACCCTGCACCTGGCCGGCCTGGGTGTCCCGGTGGACCTGGAGCAGGTGGGAACCAGAACACCTGAGCATTCAACAGCCATTATAAAAGAGCCATGCAGTGGAAGCGTAATTCATCTTGAAGTCCACCTGAAATCAAAATTGACCATATTTACATTCTTAAAGGGATATTTCACCCAAAAATTTAAATTCTGTCATCATGTACTCCCCTCACGTCATTCCAAATCCGTAAGACTTTCGTTCATCTTCAGAACACAAATGAAGTTATTTTTAATGAAATCTGAGCGATTTCTGTCCCTCCATTGACAGTCAATGCAACTACCACTTTGACGCTTCAAAATGTTCATAAAGAGATTTTAAAATGAATCCATATGAACAGAACTTTTTAGTCCAAATTTTCTGAAGAGACTCGATCACTTTATATGATGAACAAATTGAATTTATGCTTTCATTCACATCAAATACACAAAATAATGTTCTTTTTAGCAACATCATATGACCCCTTTAATCAACGCACACATAAGTTATGGCAAACAGAAGATCAAGCATGTTTGCTTGATGAACCAGTGAGGTTTATTCTCATGCGCTACCAAGTGTGTCGCACACGTCCTGAAAAGTGAAGCCAAAACATTTCGACCGCCATCTGGTGGCTGGCTGCAGTATAGGTCATAACCTCACCCTCTCTATGTAAACAAATGGGGGGTAAGCCAAACTGAAAAATCGAATTACACTTACCCAAAGATGGTTTCCATCATTTTAGGTAGTTCTTATCACACTGACGTACGTTCAAGTGTTCGTTTTTCTAATAAGTTCGTTTTCTGCGCAGTCTTTGGCTCCAAATGAGTTATTACTGTGCAGACACAGGCTCCAAATGACGTCATTGGCGCAAGATGACAGTGGCCATACTGGGATGTTTTGGCTTCACTTCTCAATAGTGGACGGAAGTGGAGACGCTTCGTCCATCTTTTTTTTACAGTCTATGTGTGTTACGCAGCACAAGAACCAATGAGGATTGTTTTCTGTGGAAGGCAGACAGGGCCAAAACTCTTTACATGGAGCGTGTGAAATGTCACCGTATCAACATGCACTGTTTGTCCGCTTTAATACTGGTTTCTTTTGTATGTGTAGACACGCACATTCTGGCCTTGTTAAGGCATCAGTTTGTGCCTTAGTACGTGTAAAGAGGCACAGTTTTACCATATTAAGACAATGAATTTGAATGTATCTCTCAACGCACACATTCTGGTGGTGTTTGAACATGTGATACTTTATAAAGCAGACCTACCTCGAGATTTACCCACATATTAATTCTTTCTTTAGATTATTGCAGCATTGCTTTACTGATATCTACTGTGCTAAATTAATTAATGTTATAATGTAAATGAAGACTTTACTACCCGAGAAAGTACGCTGAACTAAACAACTAAAAAGGAAATTAAAAACCATGTCATAAGACTGTCATCACACACACCGTACCAATACATTATCCCTCATAAACAAATATAACGTCTGATGTTTGCATGCGTACCATTACCACGTTCTTCATTAATAAACATGATGTCTGATGTTTGTGTGTGTATATACCACCATACCATCGCATCACATATGCAAATATAGTCTCAGATACAGCAACTTCATTGTCTGCTGTGTGTGTTGTGGCATTAATGCAGACAAACAGTGTGTTGACCATCAAATTTCACTGTTTAAAGAGTTTTGACCCCATCCACCTTCCATAGTTTTTGTGTGTCAAGCAAGTTTTGTTGAGCTTCTGTTTGTTCGCTGATCAATGTTTATGTATTTAATTTTAAAAGACTACTTGTGAACAAACTTGTGAACAAAGTGGTAGTAGCATTGACTGTCAATGGAGTGACAGAAATCTCTCAGATTTCATAAAAACATTTGTGTTCTGAACATGAATGAAAGTCTTACAGGTTTGGAACAACATGAAGGTGAGTAAATGATGACAAATTTTTTATATATTCTTGATTTTATTGCGAATGATACATCAGTGCACAATTTTCCAAACAGAAAATGTTTGCCTCCATAATCTTTCATCTGAATTGCTTAACTAACTAATAACTGCCTCTAAAAACCTCTTTCTCTTTGGATGACGTCACCTAGTCTTATCGATAGGCTAGCATATTAATGGTAACCGTTAGCCCAATAGCTATTTAAGCATTGTTTTAGGCTAGTGTTGTAGCCTTTCTTTTGTTTTATGTTGACTTGAGTAGTAATTTGATAAAAAGCTACAAAACCAGAGACACTGCAATAGAAGCAAGGACAAGAGCTACAGGAGAAACACAGACACAGGGCCGCCAGATACACATGTTGATTGATACAGCAATAACAGCGTCAAAGTTTGACCTTGAACTGTTGATAACATCTTTTTCTCAGGGTCATGTCTATAGTTTGATAGGCGGTGTCTCTGATGACCGTCTCGCTCTGATGCATTTGGGATACAAGCACATGCAGGGTCTGGACGGTTTCCCCAAAGACCAGAACACAGCAGAAGTGACTCAGTGTTTAAATTCAACGCACCTGGCTGGCATTATGAAAACCCATGTGAAAGACTTGGGCTTCGTTTTGGATAGTGAACTAAAGATGAAAAAACAAATAAACAGTGGTGAGATCTTGTTTTTTTTTCTGATGCATTTGGGATACAAGCACATGCAGGGTCTGGACGGTTTCCCCAAAGACCAGAACACAGCTTACGGGTACTACGCCAACATCGGCAAACAGACCAGCATCGACCGTGATAAAGTACAAGACTCTTTGGTGAGTTACACATTTATGTACTGAGATGAGCAATGCATGCAAATGTGTTATTTTAATTCTGCTTGATCTTAGTGCGGCATTCGATATGGTAGACCATAGGATTTTAATTGAGTGCCTTGAACATTGGGGCGGCCTAAAAGGCAATGTGCTGAAATGGTTTGAATCTTATCTTACGGATAGGTCTTTTTCAGTGAGAGTTGGGAACTGTAATTCTTCAAGATTACATCTTCCTTGGGGAATTCCACAAGGGTTGATAGGCTGTGTCTCTTATGACCGTCTCTCTCTGATGCATTTGGGATACAAGCACATGCAGGGTCTGGACGGTTTCCCCAAAGACCAGAACACAGCTTACGGGTACTACGCCAACATCGGCAAACAGACCAGCATCGACCGCGATAAAGTACAAGACTCTTTGGTGAGTTACACATTTATGTACTGAGATGAGCAATGCATGCAGATGTGTTATTTCTCTTGTTTTTATTATTGGGGCAGAAAAAAAAAAAAAAAAACATTACAATAACTGTTTTATTACATGGCAAGCTTAATTGATGCTGCCATATGGTAAAACCTCAAGAACATTTTTAGTAGTTACAACATTTGACAATGAAATCAAAAATTCTGTTGAAAAATGTTTTTCAAAACATTGTTTTTCAAACAAACTTAAACACAAAGATTGCATTTCTACCAGAAAGACCATATCAATTTAGAATGTTATTTAGTGAAACATACTAAATTCTTCATAATTCCATTAATTCAGTTTAACAAACATGCTTGTCTAAATTAGGCACTAAATGAAATTTGGTTTTAGTCATGAAAATGCAGTTAATTTGAATACAGAACCTAAAGGATTTCAATTTGCAAATGCTCATTTGCATAATAAAAAAGTGGCTCAGTATCTTGTTTATCAGCAAGCACAGTCAAATATTTAGAAAAATGACACTCCTGAAGTGTGTTATGTTGGTTGTTATTGAAATATTGGAACTGTCTGATTGTTTTGATGTGAAGTAATCTTGTCTAAATGTGTCTCTTCTCTGCAGCAAACTCTCACAGAACATGTTCATTTAAACAATGACAATGAACTCCACACTCAAACGGGCGAGCTGGGTGACATTGTGCAGTATTTGAAACACCAGGCTGACAGAGGAGATGTAGAGTCTCAGGTGTTCACTTTTTATCCTCACTTTCTCATGATCTCTCTTTGTCTTTGGGTATCTCTCAAGTTAAACTTGAAATTTTGACTTCAATTCTTCTGGTTTAGGAAATGTAGTGAGGGTTTGTTGAAGTGGATGAAGATCTGGGGCCAGATTCACAAAAAGAATTAAAGTCTTCTAAACTGTTGCCTTCTTATTTTCTAATTTCTAAAAATGTTAAGAATATAGTGCATTTACAAAAATACTTAAGCATTAAGAATTCACATTTTTGAAAAGAATGTTCTGAAAAGTCATTGTAAATTATTTCTTAAAGATTGGATAAACTCCAATTTGTTTAAAATTCTCATAGGGAAAGCCTGTAATTTTATTCTTGAGAAAAAACATATAGGGCCTATATCAAAGAAAATATTTGAGAACTTTCAAGAAGTGCATGTAGGAGCTTTCTTAAGAATGTCATAAAAACTAGAACTGGGGCCCAGGGTCTACGACAGATATTTACATTTCTTTGGAAACTTTATTTTCAGTTTATTTTCAGTTTAAGATGAATGAATGAATGAATGAATGAATGAATAGATATACTTTCGTGACTTTGTGACCCCACTTTGTGTTTGTGCAATAATTCTAAACAAAACTACAAAGGTTATGTAAAAATATGACAGGATGAAAAGCTACTCTTTATACTAATAATTTCTCATTAAAAGCCAAATCATGTTCAAAACCGAAGATGATAACGACAACCTGGGTTTTATGGAATATGGTAACACAATGTCCCCATAATGGTACAGATAATTGTCAGCAAAGGTACCTTTTGTTTCTTCATTTGAGATTCTCAGCTGTTGTAACACGGTTGTGGGCTGGTGTTTCTTGTAGAAAACTCTGGCCAGGATGCATCTTTGGGGCAGTAACGGGGTGGAGAAAGACATTCCCGCAGCAGTCATGTGGTATACCAGAAGCGCCCTGCAGATGGTCGATCCCACCGCCATGTACGACTACGCCATTCTTCTTCTGAAGGTGATCCACGGGTTATATGGAAATCTCTTGAGCCATATCTTTTAGCTTTTGCATTGTAAAAAGGGCACACATGCTTGTTTTGTATAAGTAGAAACTCCTGACACAAGATTAGGAAAATAAATGTAAAATGGTGTATCTATAGATACTTTCAAGACTGGCCGTCATGTAGAAACAACTGCTTGCTTTTGTGCTTGAACAGGGCACAGGAGTGAAGAAGAACCGGACGCTTGGCCTTGAGCTTCTGGAGAAAGCTGCCGACATGGTGAGCGCACGAGTATCAGCGCGTGTGTGTGTGGTTGTGTGTGGAAGTGTTGTGATTTCTATAATGGGCCATATGTGTTTTTCTCAGGGTTCTGTAGAAGCTCTGAATGGCCTCGGATGGTACTACAGTACCATAGTAAAGGATGGAAGAAAGGCCTTTCGATACTTTGAGTTAGCGGCTCAGAACGGCAGTTCTGATGGGCTCTTCAATGTGGGCGTCTACCAGTTAAATGGTGACAATCCTGACAAACCAGACAGGAATGAGGTCAGAGGTCGCACATTTAAAGGAATAGTTCACCCAAAAATGAAAATTCGCTGTTAATATATTCACCCTCAGGCCATCCAATATGTAGGTGACTTTTTTCAACAGTAGAAGAGAAAAGAAGATTTTTTAGCTGAAACCTGGTGATTCATATAATGCAAGCCAGTAGCTGCCCACTTTTGATAATTAAAAAAAGCATATCAAGGAACACAAAATTAATGCCTGTGGCTCCTGATGATATATTGAGGTCTTATGAAGCGAAACGATCGGTCTGTGCAAGAAACTGAACATTATTTACAACATTATTACCTGTAATCCAGAGCCTCAGGCAACAGGGAAATATGAGTCTTTTCCATGAACTGGTTCTTCGGTCCGAGTCGGAACTATTTTCTCAGTTCAGTGACTGTTGGAATAACTGGATCGCTGAGTTTGGGAAAAACCAGCATCAAAGGTTCATATACGCCTGTATTTTGGCTCATGTCTGAAAGTGAGTTTTGATTGAGTAACTTGATTAAAAAAAGCATATCAAGGAACACAAAATTAATGCCTGTGGCGCCTGATGATATATTGAGGTCTTATGAAGCGAAACGATCGGTCTGTGCAAGAAACTGAACATTATTTACAACATTATTACCTGTAATCCAGAGCCTCAGGCAACAGGGAAATACGAGTCTTTTCCATGAACTGGTTCTTCGGTCCAAGTCGGAACTATTTTCTCAGTTCAGTGACTGTTGGAATAACTGGATCGCTGAGTTTGGGAAAAACCAGCATCAAAGGATCATATACGCCTGTATTTTGGCTCATGTCTGAAAGTGAGTTTTGATTGAGTAACTTGTAGATATGTGCTGCTTGAGCCGAGAACTGTTTCAGACACTTCAGTCCGATTTGGTGACCTGGTTCAACTAGTTCACCAAAAAGAACCACTTCAAAAGAATGATTAATTCACAAACCGAACATCACTCCGGACCGTTTGCCTGAGGCTCTGGATTACAGGTAATAATGCTGTTAATAATGTTCAGTTTCTTGCACAAACCGATCGTTTCGTTTCATAAGACCTCAATATATCATCAGGAGCCACAGGTGTTAATTTTGTGTTCCTTGATATGCTTTTTTTAATTATCAAAAATGGGCAGCTGCTGACTTGATTTTATGAATCATCAAAGAACAGAATTTTAGCTAAAAATCTTCTTTACTGAAAAAAGTCACCTACATCTTGGATGGACTGAGGGTGAGTAAACTAACAGCAAATTAAAATTTTTGGGTGAACTATGCCTTTAACCTTCAATGGATAGTTACAGTTTAACATTTTATGGCTTGAGTTTACAGTGTATTGATCACAATGCTTTTACAGACTGCTGCATTCCACTACTTCTTGCATGCGGCTCAGCGGGGTCACGTGGACGGCGCTGTGCAGTCGGCATTGTTTCTCTCCACTGGAGCCGTACAAGGAGTGCCAAGAGATCAAGACAAAGCTGTGCTGTATGTCAGTCTCATATATCCTTCTACCTGAACTCTTCTCTTAACAATCCTTCAATGACTTCAATAAGTACAACTGCCACCACACATGGACTGATCATTTACTGGAAAAGCAGTGACAAGTTTGACAGATTTGACAAAACATCTAAATGCAAATGTCAGGGTCATCTGATGGATAGATCAGTATTTAATATGTTTTTCTCTTTTTGTTGGGTTTCTCCGTTTCTTCAGGCTGTTGAAGCGAGTCAGTGAGATGAATGGGCACCTGGGCTTCGTGGTTAAAGACGCTCTTCAAACTTATCAAAGAGGATCATGGTGAGATCTATCCCTTCATACTGTACATCTATCAATCCATCCATCCATCCATCCATCCATCCATCCATTTCTTTATTCATCCATCCATCCCTTCTTCCATCCATCCATCCATCCACCCATCCATCTGTCCCTTCATTCATCCATCCATCCCTTCACCTCTCCATCCATCCCAAAATCCATCCACGCCTTCCATTCATCCGTCCATCCCTTCATACATCCATTCATTCAACATCCATCCACCCGTCCGTCCGTCCCTCCATCCATTTATCCATTCACCTGTCCATCTATCCATCCATCTATCCATCCATCCATCCATCCCTTCACCTCTCCATCCATCCCAAAATCCATCCACGCCTTCTTCCATTCATCCGTCCATCCCTTCATACATCCATTCATCCAACATCCATCCATCAATCCATCCATCCACCCATCTATCCATCCATCCATCCATCCATCCACCCATCTATCCATGCATTCACCTGTCCTTTCATCCATCCATCCATCCATCCATCCAACCGTCCGTCCATCCATCCATCCATGCATTCAACTGTCCATCCATCCATCCACCCGTCCGTCCGTCTGTCCATCCATCCATCCATGCATTCACCTGTCCTTTCATCCATCCATCTATCCATCCATCCAACCGTCCGTCCATCCATCCATCCATGCATTCAACTGTCCATCCATCCATCCACCCGTCCGTCCGTCCCTCCATCCATTTATCCATTCACCTGTCCATCTATCCATCCATCTATCCATCCATCCATCCATCCCTTCACCTCTCCATCCATCCCAAAATCCATCCACGCCTTCTTCCATTCATCCGTCCATCCCTTCATACATCCATTCATCCAACATCCATCCATCAATCCATCTCCGTCCGTCCGTCCATCCATCCATCCACCCATCCGTCCATCCATCCACCCATCCGTCCGTCCGTCCGTCCATCCATCCATCCACCCATCCGTCCATCCATCCACCCATCCGTCCGTCCGTCCGTCCATCCATCCATCCATGCATTCATGTATCCACAGTGTTGGATAGTTGATAATTGATTACATAACCAGATTCCAGAAAATAAATACTTGTAATTAGATTATATTACATTTTAAAAATAATCATAATCAGACTACAGTTACATTTTTATTAATTACATGACTACTTAATATTCACAAAACAGCAGAAAATTATTCATAATTCATTGATTCACTCTAATTCTTCTTTTGTATCTTTTGTCTTTTCCTATTTGATTATATATATATTCATCTTCCGGTTTTGTAGAAATGCACACACAGATTGACCACTAGTCAGACGGTTACAATTATTTATATTATTTATTTCTTTTCATTTAACATTTTTAAGATTTAATTAATTATTAGCTTTTCGTTAATTTACAAACCCCCTGCAATTATTTTGCAAACCACTGGAAACCCCGATGTAATGTAATGTTTAATGTGCTTCATGACAAAAAATGGAATATATTTTTTTCTCTTTAAATTTTTAGATCAATATGGTACAAGAATATACTATTTAGATCAATGTGATAAATGAATTAGGTCAAAAGTAATCTGAAGGTAATCAAATAGTAGTCAGATGCTGTATTACCTAAAATGTGTTAATGTAATGGATTACATTACTAACTACAATTTTCATCTTGTAATTTGTATTCAGTAAGTAATCTACTCAGCACTATCCATCCATCCATCCATCCCTATATGCATCCATCCATTTATCCATTTCCTGGATAAAACCCTTGAGATGTACTGTCTTGTATTCGAGGGGGTCATATGACTTGACAAAACTTCCGAAAACACACAAGTCAAATGGGCCCCTTTTAGAGAGGCTGCTCACTGCAGAGCCAATAGGTGGAGCTAGACACTTCGAACCACACCTCACCCATAACCCTATCCTTAAACATAACTCCACCCATTAGGCTCTCAGAGATGGAGCTGGATACTTCTTTTTTGCCCATAAATATTTTAAAGGAATTAAGAACCAGCACATTATTGAAAATAACTTTTTTTGTGTGTTACACAGAAGAAAAAGTAATATTTCTGAATGTTTGTGTGACTTTTTTGTCTGTTCAAGGCATGAAGCGTTGGTGAAATATGCCATGCTAGCAGAAATTGGTCTCGGTGTGGCACAGCACAATGCTGCCCATCTGTGCGAGGTGAACAGTGTCTCAAAATCTGCCAGTCCAACCATCTCAAGCCTATAATTTCCTGACTGTTGTTTTTTTACCCCATTGTTTCATGTGTGTTTCTAGGTGTTAGGTCACAGTTCTGCCTGCCAGTGGAGGTACCACAACTACTCCACCTACAATCACATCCCTCTGGAAGTTGGTGAGCCCCTGCAGAGCAGTGACACTAACATACAGCTACTTCTCTTTTATGGCTTTGCCTCAATTCATTCACATTTTATTTAATATTTTTATTTATTTATTTTTACCCTGATCTGTGATGAACAAATGTAATTTCTACCACATCTCAAATCACGTTTCATTCTGAAGTGGAAATGACGGTTGTGGAATAAAATGTCATTTCGTATCCAGCATTTTGTGCATCCAAAATATACACAGTTCAAAATATTTACAAATTACAGCCTGATTTTAAATGATGCACAATAAAAATATTTGGTGCCCCAGTGATATTTACATGTTACAGCCATAATAATTATCTTGGTCCACCTCCCTCTCTCTCTTTCTGCCTTTATATACTCCTGTTTCTCTGCCTTCTGCAGGTTTGTTGCGGATGGGGGATTATTACAGTGAACTAGCTGATGTGGTGAAGGCCATGCACATGTACAGTACAGCAGCAGTGCATGGTAGTGCTCAGGTACACACACACACACACACACACACACAGACACACACAGGTTTCCATGTTTTATGGGGTCATTCCATAGGTGTAATGGTTTTTATACGGTACATACTGTATTATCTCCTTATCCTAACCCTACCCTTAAACCTACCCCTCACACAAAACATTCTGCATTTTTAGATTTTCAAAACACTTCATTCTGTATGATTTATAAGCAGTTTTCCTTGTGGGATCCCCAAAAATTTCAAAATTTACTGGTATTACTATACATGTGGGGATATTTGGTCCTAATAACATAGGGAATACCAGGCACGCACACACACACACACACACACACACACACACTGTCCAAAGCAGACTCTAGATTTTGGAATCCTACAGAAATCTAAATGCATCAACATCAAATCAAATGTCTTCTTTAGAATATATATTTTTAAATTCAATGTATGCATGTGCTGATAATAGTTTGTGTGAATCGTCAGGGCCTCTTTAATCTGGCCATGTTAATTGAAGATGGTTATGACGTTCCTGACATCATTCTGGATCAGATGGGACTCTCAGCAGCACACAGTGTGAGCCGGAGCGCTGTGGTGGCAAATCTATTATCCAGGTTTGTGTGCTTTATGCTGTCTGACATTTGCTTGTTAGTTTCTCATGTGTTTATTGAAGAAAGCTCTTGAGCTCTGCGGTTGCTTTGAATTATGCAAAACATGGTGCAAAACAAGTGTATGTGTATGTTGTGCATTGCTTCGTGAAATATTGTCAAAACCTTCGGGATGCTTGTATACTTGTTGGCCTGAAAATATAATATATTATTCAGTGGTGGTTGATCCCCCCCCTCCCCCTCATTATTCATGTAGCATTGGTATTTGTTACAGTATGGTATGTGTCTGTACATAGTTATTCAGCTATAGCTATAGTAGCGTAACCTAAAGTATATAGGCCAAATTTATGAAAGTGTCCTTATAGTAAAATCTCTAAAACTAGTAAAAAGTGAAGATTTTGTACAAATTTGAAGAACCTTGATTACGAACAAAATTAAAAGACATTCGCATCACATTTGTCTTCTGTGTGTGACAATAGACACCATTATAATACAAAAGCTTTCTGTTTGAAATAAACGCTGTTCCTTTGAAATTTCAAATCATCAAAGAATCCTGAAAAAAAAGTATCACGGTTCCACAAAAATATTGAGCAACACAACTGTTCTCAACACTGATAATAATCAGAAATGTTTCTTAAGCAGCAAATCAGCATATTAAAATGATTTCTGAAGGATCACGTGACACTGAAGATTGGAGTAATGATGCTGAAAATACAGCTTTGATCACAGGAATAAATTATAGTTTAAAATATAGTGAAATACAAAATTATTTATTTATTTAATTATTAGTTATTTAAAATTGCAATAATATTTCACAATATTTCTGTGTTTTTACTGTATTTTATCAAATAAATGCAGCCTTAAACATTTTTTAAAAATCTTACGAACCCAAACTTTTGACAGGTAATATTTGTCACACATTTGTGGAACTTGAAAGTATTTAGTATGGTTTTGGAATATGGATGCTAGGCTATCATATTATTGGTTAATTAACCTTAACTGTCACCGTCCCACCTTGTGGGGCGCTTGGCGCTCTTTTTGATACTTACATTTTTTGAAAAAATTCCACTTTTGCGATAATCTGCTGATTTTTCCAAAGTGTTCATAAATTACAACAATTTAAGTTTGGATAGTGCACCTGCATGCCTATTTAAAAAAATGGGGGGTGACAGTTAAGGGGTTAAAATGTTTAATGCTTTTTATTTTTACATAATTTTAGATATTTTATTCTGTATATTATGTTTTAGAAAATATGTTATTAATAAGGTCTTTTCTGCTGGAAAAAAAAAATAGTTTTAGTGACAGAAAGTTTAATTTTATGTAAACAGTTTTTCCTTGGAATAAAATGCGCCAGTAAATCATTCACAAAAAGACTAGTAATGTGCACTAAAAAAGTAAACAGGGCCCATTCTCAATTCATGTTGACTTTAAGAACAATGCCAGTCAATGGAAGTCAAGTACAAGCGAACGCACCTGTTTGTGTGTGCACAGGTGCATGAATCTGCTCTCTCTTCCTCCTGCAGGTGCAGGGTGTTTGAGGAGGGGGACGTGACTCCATGCTCATTAGTCCTGTGGAGGATGGAGTTGATGCGAGCGTGGAGAGACTTCACACACAGCTCTGTTCAGCTGCCGCTGGCCGGCGGGATTTTCGCCTCACTCATGGTTTTTGTATTTGCTGTGCTGTTACGAACTCTTCTGGGTAAAACATCCACCACCACTAAAACAGACATTTTTCATGATAATTTCCACCCTCTCACTCCAAAAAAGATCAAAGTGGTCCATATGACTACAGACATGTTAAAATATCGAGTCAGCTGAAAAATGATTAATCAGTCAATTGATTTAGAAACCTATTAACTAAGTCATTTTAGTTTCTTACACTTTCATTTGTTTTACCATCAGCATGTTACTCTGCACTGTACCTGTCAGCCAGCCAATCATCAGAGAGACACGGTGAACTTGGCGGGCAAGAAATCAGCGACAGTCCAATGGAAACCAGAACAGAGAATCAACAGCCTACAGTTTCACACAATCCCCTTTCAATGCAGGAAACATCTGATTTAGTCGTGACAGTGACTGGAGTGTGTGTGTGTCTCATCTTTATGATGTTCATTTCCCATCTGCTTTGAAAAGAACATAAGACTGTGCTTCAAGAAGTTACACATTAACGGTCACTATCAATCGACACTCTTCAACTCAGGTTACTGCAACTGAACCAGTATAAATGGCTTTGGATAAAAGCATGAACAAAATGGCTAGTCAGTTTTGCAGTAACCTGTGTTGTTCATCTACTTTCTTTAGGTGAAATAATGTTTGAACACTTGAATGTTTGCAGTGCAAATAAATGCCACATGACACGTGACGGTTCTCTTCCTGATGTCTTTCATCTGAATAGCTACAGTCTGTTTCATACTGCACATGAAAGCAGCATGTGTGTTTTTACAGTTCACACTGAGAGCAGAAAACACATCGACATGTCTTTTACAATATAGGGTTTCGAGAAGCAACATAACAGAATACTATTTTTATTAACTCAGATGAATTAGTATTTGGATATAAATGTGTCTGTCCTTCTTTCATAAGATTTCACACCTATTAAGTTTAACTCTGGTTTAAGGGCTTCTCTGACTCTCTTTACGTGTGAAAGTAGACAAGTCTGTTATGAAGCACGAGAGGGCGCCACAGCTCAGGATTAGCTATCTGAGCTTGAGTCATATTTGTTTTTTGTCTTGAGATTATGCACCTATTCTCATCTTGACTTCTTTCTTTTTCTGCACAAGAGATTGCAAGAGATTATTTTGGGATACTTCTGCATCCTTGAAAGGTGGGTCACGATTCACTGCCATTAAATGAACCTATATTTCTCCTTTTGTGTTCCAAAAAACAAAGCCAATCAGATTTGAGGACCAGAAAGAACTGTTGTATAAATATATATAATTGATTATTTATGATGCCAATAATGAATGAGGCCTATAAATGGGTTCAAACAAGAGTGTACCTTATTAATTATTGCCATTATAAATTTAAAATGAGGCTGTGAGGGATAGATTTACAGTCTTTATAATGGTACTGAAAATAAGAATCATAATTTTAGAAACTCACAACTTTCAAAATTTTTTCTGCATAGCCTTCCATGCATTTATTTGAAAGACGTTTTGTCTGCTGAACAATTGGCATGCTGTTAAACAACAGTACAACCCACTGAATGCACTGTACACAGCCTCATTTTCATTCCTGTCAAAAACAAAATATAGTGCTACCCCGACTAAGGTCTATATCTTAATAAAAATTAATTAACAGCATATTGCAGTTACTGACAGCATTTGCCACTTGTGGGAAGACGAATTTTAAGAGAATTTATGATGCTTATTTTATAGTATGGTTGTATTAGGCATGTCAAGTATGACATGCTATTTGTCCTTTTGACATTATTGTGATTTTTTTTTTCTTTTAATGTGGGGTGACATGTTAAAACATGTATAGCCTGCCTATCTGATATATAACTCTCAAGAATTATATCAGTTAGTTACTTAAAGGGGTCATATATAGTGTTCCTCCCCTCACTTTTTGGGTGATCAATCATCTTTTGAATCATCCCTACACCCCTGTTTGTTTCCCATTTCCATGCCCACTTCTCACAATAGGAGGCCCTGTGAGTAGGCAAATGGATTGGATTTCACTTTTTTAACGTGTAATCTATTAGCTGCTGTAGACTATTCCCTCTCAAAGGTGCTGATAGTGTAATTAGCATATCATACCACGGAACAAAAGAGACAGAACAAAAGTTCTGTCTTGACGTCAAAATCATCAGAGAAATGTTCCACAGCGCCATACAGGATTGATTTCTTAACTGAACTGATAATTTCACAGTTAGATATTTGTCATTAACAAATTTTTAAAATCTTGATGGATAACTCAAAATTTCCATCCAGCCAGGATCACTGACCCATGCAATGCGATCCCCCAGTGCTCCTCTGAAACATCACAAGGGTTGTTTGTCTCATGGACCAACTGGAGGTCAATATATAATGAAGGCCCCCGTTTTGGAGTCCCAACCATGGCTCTGGAAGATCACAGGGGCTGCTGAACTTCCATTGTTGTTGCATGATCATGCATGGATCAAAAGGAGGTGCCCCCTTCAGGAAGCAATGCAAAACTAGAGGACTCTCTCTTTTCATCAAGTAAAGGCCCAGGTATACTTAATTTTTCACATTCCACATAAGCCTTTCAAAGTATATTCTATTGACCGTGAGCACGGATGGAAGCATCCAGTGTGTGCACACTACACACTACTTTCTTTTCAAGTGCTTAGACACTGTGCAGAGACATGAGCGAACTGTGCTGCTGATGAAAATAACATCACACTGACTAAAAAGGGAAGTATACTGGCCCTGTCCCAAGTGACACCCTAAAGACTATGACACACCAAGCCAACAGTCGGCCATCAGCCAACGTCAGGCCATCACCAAGTGTCTGTCAGCTCAGTTTTAGTTGTGTGTACCGCAGCATCGGACTAGTCAGATCCCGTCTACGAGTTCTTTGATGTCAGTTTTGTGTGTCATGGCATTAACCCTCTTTGTCTTTCTTCAAGTCTACACTTTCGACACATAATGATGCTTTGACTGTTAGGTAGAAGTGAGTTGCAGAGCTTACCTCAGTGCGGCCACAAATGTGGTACTTGCATACACCCTTCTGAAAACCAAAATTACAAATGGGACACCCTGCGTTGCAGCCTGGAATTAAACCACACCATGCTGGTTTCGTCTGGCCAGAGGAGAACTGGCCCCCCGACTGAGTCTGGTTTCTCCCAAGGTTTTTTTCTCCATTTCTGTCACCGATGGAGTTTTAGTTCCTTGCCACTGTCGCCTTTGGCTTGCTTAGTTGGGGACATATAATTTCTGGCAATATTGTCGACTTGAGTGCACATACTATTTGAACTGAACTGACTAGACGATGAATCAACAATTAACTGACTTTAACTGATAAACTGACTGTTTTCTATTGTCCTCTTGCATTATTAGCACACGTTTTTGCAGTTTAACACTGTGAAGCTACTTTGACACAATCTGTATTGTACAAAGCTCTATATAAATAAAGGTGACTTTACTTGACTACAGTAGGGGTTCTCAAGGTCCTCGAGGTTCTCGAGGTCCACTTTCCTGCAGAGTTTAGCTGCAACCCTAATTGAATACACCTGAACAAGCTAATCAAGGTCTTTAGGATTACTAGAAAGTTACAGGAAGGTGAGTTTGATCAAGATTGGAGCTAAACTCTGCAGGACCTAAGATTTCACACCTATTACACCTAGTGGACCTCAAGGGCCAGAGTTGAGGACTCCTGTCCTTACAGTGCACTCCAGCTGTAAGAGGAGTGCGACACAACGTTTACAACACTGCCAGAACTTAGTTGGAGCCTTTAGCCTCTCATCTTAGCTGCAACCCTAATTGAATACACCTGAACAAGCTAATCAAGGTCTTTAGGATTACTAGAAAGTTACAGGAAGGTGAGTTTGATCAAGATTGGAGCTAAACTCTGCAGGACCTAAGATTTCACACCTATTACACACAGAGTTGAGGACTCCTGTCCTTACAGTGCACTCCAGCTGTAAGAGGAGTGCGACACAATGTTTACAACACTGCCAGAACTTAGTTGGAGCCTTTAGCCTCTCATTGAATGCTAAACTTAATTTTCTGGGTTCCGCTTCGTCTTGCACACAGTTGAGCATGCAAGTCTTTCAAAGTATATTCCATTGACTGTGAGTGTGGATGGACGCACTCGGTTAGTGGACCATTCTTTTCAAGCTCTCAAATCACTTGCACATACACTGTTGTAGCTGGACAAGTCTGCATGGACAAAAACTGGTCTGCACTCGCTCTGTTCCCTCGGCTCTCGGTCCCACCCTGCTTGGTGCATATACTCTACTGACCGTGAGCACGGATTGACCTGTTCTGCACATGCGCACTGCCAAGTGGACCTTTTGTTTTTGAGCACTTAAATCACTTGCACATGAATCACAAAAATCGGATGGTTTTTCAGAAATCGGAAATCGGACTGCAGAGTGGACTGTGCTGATGACAAAAACGTCACATGGACTGTCTGCGAGCCTGAATGGAACGCGGACAAGAGAAGTATACTTTCAGTTTTACAGTCTTGTGGATTTCATGATCATGCACACATGGTGGTCATTGTAAGACTGCGAAGCTGTGACATGAAGAATGTGAAGACCAGCTAATCAACATGGTTCGTATTCAAAATGGTAAGCAAGTGTTGCTTTGTTTATGGTTTGTATATCTGCAGTCCTAGTTTTGGTTTCCTTTTTTGAATGACGAATACAGACTACTGCCACCTGCTGTTATGAAGAGTTATTTCGACATCAGGAAGCATGTGTTTCGATAAAACTTACATGCTATTTGACTGTTAGTTGTAGTCTTTGCAGTGTTTTCTTCAGTTCAGTGGGCAAGTTTTAGGTCCACGCACAGGCGACATGGGACAACAACATAAATCAAGCATTCTGCGTTAGTTCAGGCAGGCCTCGTAGTCAAGCTCCGCTATCAGCTGACTGGCGAAATTCAAACCCGGCCCCTATCAGCTGATCCGACTCCTAAGCTCTCAATTGGCAAATCTCAAACAGGGCGCCTTACTTAAACACGGCATTTGTCTGCTTGCTTTGCTGCTTCCTCTATTACGCTGCTTGCAAGACCTTCATGTATGTTGCCGTACCATGAAATTTCGCTTGTTTTTAACGTTATTCACCCAACTGGTTATCATGCCTTCTGCCGCTAATGACGAAGACCCGTGGGTTGAATCAATCGAAGAATCTCAACAACATCAAAGCCAAACAGAGGAAGCTATTCGCGACAAGAACAATGTTTCTGTCCGTCGGAGCACTCGTTTGTCAAGTAAATCCTCTTGTCCTCCCGGCATTAGCGACTGGCCTCTGCCTAAGATATTGGAAGTTCTGTTTAAGAGCCATATTCCGGTTCCGACCGGAGCTACTCATGAGGAAATGTTTACCTTGCTTTGTGAAAGTATTGATGTCCCAGCTCCCCACTCGCCACCTCCAACCTCCGGCAAGAAGAATATGCAGAAAAGGAAAAACCTCGAGCCGGCTTCCACCTCAGCAACTGGTGCACCCAAACGGGCATGTGGTCCTTCCAGCTCAGCCCGATCAAGCCACTCCACGATCCAAAACAACGATCCAGTGTTGTCAGCATTGTCAAGTATCCAGTCTTCGATCTCTGACATGAACTCTAGAATCCAAGCTTTGGAGTCCAGCTCAGCATCCAGGATTTCGGGAAATCTCCTCTTCCCTGGGCCGGCTTCTTCGAACACCGCGTCAACCACTGTGCGACTACCTGGAGCCGAGCAACAGGTTGATGACGTCATTCTGACGACATTCCCGCGAAGGACAATGGGAAGTGCAGTTCCCTTGTCCAATGGCTCTCCATTCTTTCCGCCGACTGCTGCAATCTCCCATCATTTGAGAAACCAAATCATCGCAGGTAATGATGTCAACCTTGTAAAAATATTTAAGCCTGGCTCAAGCTTGCAGCTTGATCCTAAGGTGATGCCATTTGCCACTCCACTGTGTTATAATTTTAATGAAAATGTTTGCAAATTCTATAATTGTAAATGTTCATGCTTGTAGTTACTGTGGAGACGGCCACCCCAAATCTGTGTGATATACCGAGACAAACCCGCTTTATGAAAAAGGAGAAAAATAAATAAAACCATCAACCCCAGTCAACGTCCCAAAGCTGGGTCAGGCGTTGAGAAATCACCCTAATTGCGGTTTCGTCAATTACCTAATAACTGGTCTTATTCAAGGTTTTATCGCAGGGTTGTCCTGGATGCCTAATTATTCTCTAGTCTGTAAAAACTTGATTTCTGCTTTAAACGAGCCTGAAATAGTCAATTCATTGTTAGAGAAGGAGGTTAAGAAAGGATTTATGATTGGGCCATTTGATGATCCTCCCTTTCCAGACTACCGAATTAATCCTATAGGTATCGCGACTCGTAAATATTCAGGGAAAAAGCGTTTAATTATGGATCTATCCGCCCCTCATAACGATGCAGCTCAAAGTGTTAACAGTCTCATTCCTCTAGCTCCTTTTTCTCTGTTCTACGCTACCATTGAGGATGCAATCAAGTTCATAAAAAAAGCAGGTCGGGGTGCATGGCTCACAAAAGCAGATATATCAGACGCTTTTAAAGTCATGCCTTTACATCCATCACAATGGCATTTATTTGGTGTTAAATGGAGAGATAAGTTGTATTTTTCGGTTAGGCTCACCTTCGGCTGTCGCAGTAGTCCAAAAATATTTGATACACTATCAGAGGCGCTATGTTGGATTCTTCTCAATAACTGCAAACTGCCATTTGTACTTCATCTCTTAGATGATTTTTTGCTAGTCGACTTCCCATTGCATTTCAGCGCTAAAGTGCACCTTCAACAATTTGGGTGTTCCTCTTTCTGAGGAGAAAACACTAGGTCCCCTTAAAACCATTGAATTCTTGGGCATCACATTAGATTCTAACCTAATGCAAGCCTCCCTGCCCTCAGAGAAATTAAATCGCATTAGAGAAGTCATGTGAAATGCTCACCTTACTTGGATATCTGTATTGGGTAACTTCAGTGTTTGGGCTGCTCACATTCCTGGCTTAAACAACCAAATCGCTGATTCTTTGTCTTGGTTTGAATTTCAGAAATTCCACCTCCTGTGCCCGGAGGCAGCACCATCCAGCCTGGTCTGTCCCTCTTTCAGCCAAACCGTACTAGACTAGACATGACCTTTCAATCGTATTTGCACTCTGCAGCTCACTATATGCGTAATGGTCTGGCTAAAACTACATTAAAAATGTACGACTCTGCTTGGTCTCACTTCAGTTCTTTCTGTGCTATGTCAATTACCTAATAACTGGTCTTATTCAAGGTTTTATCGCAGGGTTGTCCTGGATGCCTAATTATTCTCTAGTCTGTAAAAACTTGATTTCTGCTTTAAACGAGCCTGAAATAGTCAATTCATTGTTAGAGAAGGAGGTTAAGAAAGGATTTATGATTGGGCCATTTGATGATCCTCCCTTTCCAGACTACCGAATTAATCCTATAAGTATCGCGACTCGTAAATATTCAAGGAAAAAGCGTTTAATTATTGATCTATCCGCCCCTCATAACGATGCAGCTCAAAGTGTTAACAGTCTCATTCCTCTAGCTCCTTTTTCTCTGTTCTACGCTACCATTGAGGATGCAATCAAGTTCATAAAAAAAGCAGGTCGGGGTGCATGGCTCACAAAAGCAGATATATCAGACGCTTTTAAAGTCATGCCTTTACATCCATCACAATGGCATTTATTTGGTGTTAAATGGAGAAATAAGTTGTATTTTTCGGTTAGGCTCACCTTCGGCTGTCGCAGTAGTCCAAAAATATTTGATACACTATCAGAGGCGCTATGTTGGATTCTTCTCAATAACTGCAAACTGCCATTTGTACTTCATCTCTTAGATGATTTTTTGCTAGTCGACTTCCCATTGCATTTCAGCGCTAAACTCAGTTTTTTGTCCTCTATCTTCCATGCTGGCCTACTTGAGAAGCCGTCCACAAGCTGGTTCGCAGGACCCATTGTTTTCCACAGAGGAGGAAAAGCCTATGTCCCGAGCCTGGTTTGCCTCCCGTCTCTGCCTTCTCTGCCAATACTGTGGTCTTCCCCCAGAACGCTACACAGCTCATTCTCTGTGCATAGGGGCTGCGACAACTGCATCTTCCTTAACTCCTATCTCTACCTTGAAGGCCATGGGGCGATGGTCGTCAGTTGCTTATGAACGTTACCTCCGACCCGACGCTCGAGCCATCCTTGAGGCTCAAAAAGCTATGAGTGCAGCTCCCTAATAAGGGTTTAAAATAAATGTATGGCTTCAGTAACTATTGGGTGTGTTTACTTTTATAAATATTTATTACTCCATCTTCATTTCTTATGCTGACTTCACATAGTTAATTGGCTATTTTAAAGCAAATAATAAAAAAAAAATAATAAAAAATTTGGCTTCCGGCAACGCTCATTTGGTTCCTCTGCTGGCTCTTCTTTAGCAGGAAGAGCAAGGGAGGATTGCCTGGTATGGTCTGTTGGTTTATTTTTTGTGCTATTCTCCTATTCTTAAAATAGGAGGGTTGCCCCTGAAGCGACTGCTGTTTCCCTGTCCTGGCTTTCATGGAGCTCATGAAAAGGACAGGGAACTTGGAACAGAGCCATACCGCCAAATGTAACTTTAGTAAACATGCCAATAAAAAAGTTGACTTAAAGACTTGTCTGTGGTTTTCTTTTTGACTTAAGAGATCCTGACTGAATTGGTTTTCATCACAGCTAGCTTTATCAGTTTGCCTTGTGGGTCGACAGAAGCACTTTTTGAGAATTAATAACTGGAAGTTTGTCACATTAATACCATAAAATATTTGATTATTCAGAGTTTTGCTTTGAGCCACTTAGTAGTAAATGCACAAGATATCCATGAGCACAACTGTACTTTCATCTGTATTTTCTGACTTTTGTCTATGAAGTAGTCTTAACTTAGTGCCTCTGCTGTGTAGTACATAGAGTTTCTGGTTGGTATCTCATTACCTACCCTATGATAACATTTTCAAAACTCAGCCACACAAGCTGATAAGTAGATGCAATAAGAACTCAAACAAAACAATCTGACACTGGAGCATCTTTGACTCATAAAACAATAAAGGGATACGAAATCATAAATTAATTAAGAGTTTAATGGCCTTAAGTAGGTCTTGAAGTAAACATCAGGTTTTCAATGGCACAATGTTTTTTCAAAGATAAAAATCAGATTCAATGTCCTTATGTCATCTGAAATATTTAAAGACAATATCTTACATCTGAGTAGAGAAATATTTTAAGCTTAATCTTCATGAAATTTACAAAATGCAACATTACAACCAGAAAAAAAAAAACTAAAATTGAGTTTACAAACATTTAAAAACCTATACAAATGCATCTTTACATAGTTCCACATAATGTGCAAAATTACTGCCAAGAGTGTGCATTTTTCATTGGCCTGCTTACCTGCTTACTATTTTCAGACATAAATACTGAAGAATTATACAAACACAGACTTTTATGAAAGCCCTGACTCCTCCCACTGGTAAATCATGCACAAAGAACAACAATAACATCTTCATCAACAGTTAGAGATTGATTTTAATCTCTGTACTGTAATGCCATTTTATTGTGGTCAATGTACCTGATGCATTTTCTTTGTCCTTAAAGACCTCATGAAATCGATTGACAAGTTCAATACTCCTTCCTGTGCAGACGTATTTCCTGTTGAAACAGGAAGTTGGGGCAGGACATATTGATTTCACAGGCTCTTCAATTGAAGTCTATTCTTTTGCAAAGATTTAAAATGTACTGTAGTGATTAAATATTTTGAAGTCATCAACAACAAAGTCGCACATGGACCCAATTTGCTGTTTTCTGTGCATTACCAGAAAAACTTACATTTTGTTATAATTATAATATTATAAATGCGTTGCTGTTACTTTGGCCTCATCCTCTATTGTGAGCGCTGGGTTGTCATACATCTCTAAACTCTTATCCTTGGTTTTCATTTCATCCTTCTCTTCATCCTTCTCTTTTTCTTTGCAGCAGCAGCAGCAGCAGCAGCAGCAGCGAGTCCTGCAGAAGGTCATGCCGGCGGTCACCGCTGTTACTTTGGCCTCATCCTCTATTGTGAGCGCTGGGTTGTCATACATCTCTAAACTCTTATCCTTGGTTTTCATTTCATCCTTCTCTTCATCCTTCTCTTTTTCTTTGCAGCAGCAGCAGCAGCAGCAGCAGCGAGTCCTGCAGAAGGTCATGCCGGCGGTCACCACTTTGTCCCAGGGTTTGAAGGAGTGCAGCGGTTTGGGCAGGAAGTCCCAGCTGCGGAGGAATGATGGCAGGAAATGCGGGCAGCGTTTCTGCATAATGTTCACTATGATCACAAAGATCGCGAAGACCAACATGGGCACTCCGACCCCCACCAAGACCTGCCACCCCGCGATGGAGAGGCCCAGGACTGACAGCGGGAAGAGGAGGAAGCACAGGATGAGATACAGCGCCGCGAACCAGCGGTATTTGGCCGTGCGGTTGCCCAGAGCTTTGGCCAATCGGATAGGGATTCGTGTGAAGGGGATGGGATACCAGAGCAGGATACCACTGATGTTGAAGAAGAAGTGACAGAGAGAAATCTGGAAGAAAACACAAATGATAGTCTTTAATCAATGACCACAGTAATAAAATCAAGTCAAAGGAAAATAAGTACAGTAACAAACCAAACCTGTAGAGAGTTCGCCAGTGTCTCTCCAGGACTGGCGAGAGCAGCTAGAAGAGCAGTGGTGGTTGTGCCAATGTTGGAGCCCAGAGTGAGTGGATACGCCCTTTCAAGGCTAATGACACCAATTCCTGAACAGAAAGAAAACAGTAATGAGGCTTAATTCAGATTGCATTAGCTCACTTATGTTGCTAAGCCAACACTGCAATAAGCATAATATACAGCATGCAAATATTAGATAAGACAGTTTTTAATTAGACTGAACAACTTAAAGTGGTGGACAGAATGGTTGGAGGGGATGCACAGATGTGCTGGCTGTGATGTCACATCATGAATATTAATTTGGTTATACATATGCTATTTTACTGTTCCCTTTCAAGGGAACTTCAAACTGCGTCCTCTAGGGGTCGCTATGGGGAACGCCTCGTCGTGACCCGTGTCTGAAGCATACATTGAAAAAACACCAACAACACGTTAGCCGGCGACAGCCCATGACGTCACTACCGTTGCGACTATTAGTATAAATAGGCGCCGGGAGAACATGTCATTCTCTTCTTCGTCTTCACTGACTGTTTTGTTTGAAGCGTGCATTTGAACGTGGTAAGAGCGATCTATTCCTGTC